CCACCATGCCCAGCTAATTTTTTGTATTTTTAGTAGAGACGGGGTTTCACCACGTTGACCAGGATTGTCTCGATCTCTTGACCTCGTGATCCGCCCGCCTCGGCCTCCCAAAGTGCTGGGATTACAGGTGTGAGCCACCGCGCCCGGCCCATGAACTACTGTTATAAACACACAAGACAAGGTCACTTGCATCTGTAATTATTCTATATCCCATATTTTATTATTTCCATAATCACCTTCAAAGTTTCTGACATTAGAAAGAGCTAAAAATCTTTTCTTGCACCCAAATTTTCTGTGAAGATAGGATTTAAATTTCACTGTAAAAAGACAGCATTTTCAACACAAAATTAAAGGCTAAAAAAGAATTGTAACCTTTTAAAATAATTAACAAAGGTTGCCCAGAGGTTTTTTTCTCCATGGAATAATATTACCGGATTTGTTTCTTTACTTGGATGGTCAAAAATACAGACTAAAATATATACCTCCAGATAGACTGATAGACTTAATGAAAAATCTCCATTTGCCTAGTAAAATGTCAGTGACCTCTATTGGAAATATTAGAAATAAAATAATTCCAATGAGTTTCCTCGACAGTAAAGTTGTGAGACGTTAAATATGATAGTGACTCCTGATCTTTTCCATATCATAGGGCACATGGAAAATGATAGTACTTGTATGGCACACTGGGGTGAGTGGAAGAGGCTGCTCTGCAGGGGTTGGGTACCTGCCATCTACTTATTATCTATAAGTAAGCTAACATGCCAGGGACACCTGCCTCTTAATCAGGACTCAAGGATTGGGAAGCGATGGAGGATGAAACTACATCTTCATATTTAGATGATATAATTTTCAAAATGATTATACCAAGAAAGCTAAAACATACAACAGCTGAATTCTCACCCTCTCTTCATTTCGGGTTTTCCCCTTGACAGTGTCCAAGGTCACCAAACCGTTCTCCATATACCGTCAAGGGTGTAAATGTCCCTGTATATACAAGGGCTGAAATATTTTTTCAGTTATTTTGCCCTTCCTTCATTGCTTTCCTTATAAGGAAAAGGAAAAAGGAACACACTGGTCATCTCATGTCTATGGAGCTCAAATTTGTCTGCTAATGATTTGTGGGGGTTAATGAACTGATAGCATCTCCAGCATGCTGAGCTCTACAAAAGTTAACTCTTAACCAGAGTTAAGCCTGATTGAATGATAAATAGATAAACTATTTTAGGTGCTGTCATTAGAAATTAAATATGCTCCATTTTGGGGGTTTGCAGGCAAACCATTTTTGTCAGACATTTCCTCAGCTATCATCAAGTGAATGAACACACTTTTCTATTTCAGTAATTTAAGCATCAGCATTTTCTCTCTAAGCTAAAATAAGCCACCTAAACATAGGATAAGAGCAGATACCAAAATTACAAGGGCCTGTGTTTTATGTATCACTGCCTGAAATCAAGATACCACTGCCTGTTCCCACAAGGTTCCCTTCCTGCTGCCAGGCACCATGCACCTGAGAATTCAATAGCAGAAGAAGATATTATTTATAGATCTAGATGGAGGTGAAATATTTCATATAGCTTTTAGGAGCTAGCTAAATATGCCTCATTGGGGGATGGGAGACAAGAAAGGGATCTAACTTGAGGCACTTGCCTCAATTCCATCTGAAAAATGTGAGAACAGCCAGCTTTGCTACAGGCACTCACTTACTTATTTCCAGAAGTAAATTAAAGGAGCAGAAATGGAAACTGCAGGTGGGATAAATTAATTGTCTTGCAGCGTTACTGGTAATGCCTAAAGTGCTTTGTAAACTAAAAGTACTCCATAAATATGTCATTATAAGTACCTTTATCATTGGGAATAGTCAGATTAACAATGCTAAAGTGAATTAAGGAAGCAGAATTGGATTTTATTATGTTTTTCGCACAAAAACACACCAAATTAGTGTTACATGGTAGAACTACACAGTAAAGTACCATCAGAGAGACAAACAGCATCAGGTTACTGTAGGTCAAAGGACACATAGTTACAGACTGTCGAGTGCCTCTCTCCTGCTTTCCATGTTTCTCTTTGCTTTAAAGGACTCAAAACTCAGGACCCCACACATTAGCGCTTTGACTCTTGTTAAAAAATACAGGTCCTGACATAGCTTTCATTAAGGTATTTTTGAGGGTTATGTTAGAATTTCCATACATTTTTCTTGACTTCTATAAATATCAAACAAGAACATAACCATACCTAACACCTATTGAGTCCTGTGTCCTTGTTCATCCCTGTGTGTTAAATACTTTCCATACATTCACTCATTTATGCTTTACAGCAACCTTGTATGGTCGGTACCGTTATTGTCTTGCTTTAGAGACTGAAAAAACTGAGGCTTAAGAGGCATGAAATAACTTGCCCATGAAATAATGTGCTTTGATCCCAGGTCAGTCTGGCAACAGAGTGCACGCACCGCCATGAGGAATGACTGCTTTTTCTCTATAGCTGTGTCCAAAGTTACCCAATAGAGAACGTTCAGTGGTGGGAAACAAACAATATTGCATAAACAGGGCCTCTTGTAGTCTCTTCTCCCCCATACCCACCTCTGCCACTACCTTCTGCCTTCACCTTGACCTCCTTTCAAGTCTTCCCTTTATTTTCTTTTCCAGGCAAATACGCCATGCGAGACCTAGTCCACAGACTTCCAGGTGGGAACAATAGCAACAGCACGGCAAGCAAGGCCATGTCGGATGACACAGTGACAGCCGTCTGCTGCACCCTGCACGAAGTGATTACCAAGAACATGGAGAATGCCAAGGCCTTACGGGATGCCGGTGGCATCGAGAAGTTGGTCAGCATCTCCAAAAGCAAAGGAGATAAGTAAGTTACCTGGTGACATCATATCTCTGTCCTGGTAAAATTGGTTCTGAATGTGCCTTTTAACTATGATTGTCACCGAAGGTATTTGTCTCTGAGAATCAAGAGAAGGAAAATGGCAAATGGTTTCCAGTCTTCTCTCTCTCTTTTTTTCATTTTGGATTT